GTATTTACATGTGTGTCCTATTTATTTCACTTAAGAATTTGACCTCGATGTGCATCCATTTAGCTATATATGTCTCTAGTTTCTCGTTCTTTATGGCTGAGTAATACTCCATTTTATAAAAAAACCACATCTTCTTTATCCAGTCTCCAGTTGATGGGCAGTTGGGCTCTTTCCAAGTTTTAGCTATTACAAACTGTTCCGCTATAAACATGGTTGTGCATATATCACTGTGGTATGATTCTTTTTATTCTTGTGGGAAGATACCCAGCAGAGGAATAGCTGGGTAAAATGGGACCTCTAATCGTAGTTTTTTGAGGTATCTCCATATTGATTTCCACAGTGGTTACACCAGTCTGCACTCCCACCAACAATGGAGAAGTGTTTGTTTCTCCCTACACCCCTGTCAGCATTTGTTATTGGTTGATTTCTTTCTTTCTTTTTTTTTTGGTACCGGAGATTGAACTCTGGTCCTTGTACTGCAAGCGGCGAAACCACTGAGCCCTGGCCCAAATTGGTTGATTTCTTGATAGCAGCCATTTTTTCTGGGGTGAGGTAGAATCAATGTTTTCATCTGCATCTCTTGAATGACCAGTGATGTTGAACATTTTTTCATATGTTTATTTGCTGCTTTTACTTCTTTGAGAAATGTCTATTCATTTCAGATGCCCATTTTTGAATTGGGTCTTTATATTTGGGGGGTCTGATTTTTTAAAGTTCTTTATATATTCTAGGTAGTAGTCCTTTGTCTGAGGAACAGCTGGTAAAACTTTTTTCTCACATTGTAGGTTGTCTGTTAGCTCTGTTGGTGGTTTCTCTTGCAGTGCAGAAGCTTCTTTTTCTCTTTATAAGGCAGTAGTTCCCTGATCCCCCTCCCAGTTTGAGTTTGGATTTCTTCATAATACTGTCTGTTCTTCTCTTTGCTTTCTGAGAAGCAGATGTTCCTGTTCAGTGATTTTAGGTAACCTTGTGATTACTGTGTTTCTACTTAGCCTTAGTTATCTTATCATGCAAATGGGCCAGTCTTTACACACTCACGCCTACATTTTTCAACAAAGGCTTTCTTACTAGTTTATT